TAGAACATTCCTCTCTCCCCTATTTGCTTTTGTCCTACATTCCCTTCAGGTCTTGTTTTAAATTTCACTGGCATACCAGGTGAGTTTTTCTCAGTTATGAACTCCCAAATACACTTCTACTTTACTTAGCATATTTATAATTATTAATAATTTCTCAATTATTTGGGTAGTATCTTACCTTCCTCCTTGGGTGCAATGTAATAGAAGCAGGTCTGAGATATATGAGAGGAATAGAGCACTGTGGAGCTGACCCAGCATTGGGCTCGCATTTCTATTTTAACCCTAATAACAATGTATTATAATAACCTCTGTACATGATGCTTTTTTCTATCAAATCTTTTGTGCCCCAGTACTGAATACTTGTTCTCCTATGCAAGTATTCCCATAACATAGGAGCTGACAATCTAGAGTTTAGTCATCTACTCATGAAAAGTAATTAACTTTTCAAGCTATCGTACGCCAAATACCAAACAAATCAGCAAATGTGGTAGAGCTGTATTATCTATTCTGTTGGCCTCTAGCCACAAATGAGATGGAGAAGCAATTTATTTTGACAGCCATTTTAGTTCCTAGCGGTGGCATAAAGTCTGTAAATATAAATTTAAATGCTACACAGTTTATAAAGCATGTCATAATGAAATTCTGCATATTGGCTAAAGCAGTGCCTCAAAATACTGAAGATACAGAATTAAAACTAGAGAGCTAAAATATTATAACAGGATGTGGAAGAAAAGCAAGACATGATATTAGTGGAAGGTTACTATTTTTAGGACTTGCTTGGGGCATAGTCATGTCTCTCAACAATATATAGAAGTTTGTAAAATATTATTAACTTCTAAATCTTATACTATGTGAATGAATTGCTTATTCAAAAATAAAACTAAGAATAGGGAAAAAATTGTAATATTAATATGCTTTATTTTTAACTTTTGGTTAACTAATACATCTTTTTAAGTTGGTTATATAAATATTATTATATTCTTAGAAGATGATGTTTGAAATTATAAACATACTTTTAAATATATATATTTTGAAGATTGGCTTCAGGAAGCTAAGATAGAAATAAGTAGTGTAGATGACAATGGGGATGTGGAACCATAACCAGTACATTTGTATAAATTGTGAAGACCTTGCTGAGAGCACAGTTATAGAACTACTTCCCGGATAACTGGTTTCATGAAGTTCTTCCATGATTATGTAGCAATTCTGGTTTTTGTTATCATTGTTCCATAATTAAGAGGCTGTGGTTTTCAAGAGTTTTTCCCTTTGATCCATTTGATGTGCAGAATGTTTTTATTATTCTCCACCCTCAAAACAGCTTCCCACCCAATTATTATTTATTTATTTTTGTTGCGGTATGCGGGCCTCTCACTGTCGTGGCCTCTCCTGTTGCGGAGCACAGGCTCCGGACGCGCAGGCTCAGCGGCCATGGCTCACGGACCCAGCCGCTCCGCGGCATGTGGGATCTTCCCGGACCGGGGCACGAACCCGTGTCCTCTGCATCGGCAGGCGGACTCTCAACCACTGCGCCACCAGGGAAGCCCCCACCCAATTATTTTTTTATTACAAAGGCATTTAACATTTTAGAAATCTCTCTATGACTGAAATGTTAAGACTATGTTTTTATTGTGAAAATAATGGATGAGCATGTTCCAGTCAATATTTCTGTTTTAAAGTTTGGTGGATGTTTAATGCATTCAATGAATGCTACCGGTTGCATTAATGCAGTCCATTTACAAAATAGCTGCACTTTATAGTCAATATATCAATATTAGTTACCAGATAAATCCTCCAAATCCTCCAAATGAGAAAGTTGAGGTTCTTTTTGTAATATTGCAAAAGCACATTTCTCTCAGGAGTCATAATGACTTAGAATAATTTTAAAAGTATACCTGTTTGTTTCCAGTTTCTATAGAAAAATTGGTTGATTTCTTACAAATTATAAGTTGACTGGGAAGTTTCCTCTCCTTAGGTTGAGAATTGATTTATGAGAAATCGTTGAATCTCTAAGATTTGCATTTGTGTATTTGAAACGTGGCTCTTAACTGGTTTGGCTCTTCATGTCACATGGGTTTTAGTAAGGAATAAGGAATATATTTGTCATGCCAAATCATCCCCCTACCCCGCTGTTTTTGTTTTGGCTGCACTACACAGCATGTGGGATCTTAGTTCCCTGACCAGGGATCGAACCATGCCCCCTGAAGTGGAAGCATGGAATCTTAACCACAGGACCGCCAGGAAAGTCCCCAAATCCCCCTTTTGTAATGACAACATGAAGGAGGCAAGAAATCATATGCAATTGCATTTGATTAGTTCTAAAGTGTGGAGGTTCATGACCACTAAAATAGTTATTTCTTAATAATACAGTTTAAATGAAAATACAAAGAGTGGACACATCTTCCAAAATATTGTGTGTTAAAAAAAAATATTGTGTGTTACAGTAAAATATGGTTTATTGGCCACTCTATTAACCTGGCATTTCTCTTAATAATGACATTTGTGTTTTGGCAGTAATAGGTTAGAATGTGATAATTGGTATTTATTATTGTGACCCCAAAAATGTGTAAGATTTTTAAATACCCTCTGACTTATCAAAGAAAGATTAAATTATTTATATTTTCCAAGGCACTTCAGTATCTAGAAAATTGTAATTCTTTGACAATATTTACTCTCTATATAATATAGACAATAATCCTCTCTATATTAGAATACCTTATTCCTAGGATATGTTAAAAAAAGAAACCCTGGAATTTGCAGTCATTTTCCATTTCAAGTACTTCTTTACAGCCTGTTGAAATTCCTGACATACTAATTATTATAGAATATGACTAACTTATTTTCCTTTTATTCATATATTCGGTGGGAAAAAAAAGTTAAAGTGAAAAGATTTGAATAGTTTACTATTTAGGAGAACCCCAAATGATGAAATATTGTTCAAGTTATTAGATCCCCTTAACAGTATCACTATTAGTGACTTTCTTCTAATTCAGGAGCTTATAATTGAATAAGAAATAATTGGACTTTTCTAAGCATGAAAAATAGACTCTCTGAAAGTCTTAACTAGGGCTAAGTTTTTTTTTTTTCAATGTAGTGAAAACCAAAAGCAACATGTTAGGTTCAGCATTAAAAGCAGGTAATATAATCAGTGAATGTATATAAATCAGGATATAAAAAGGACCTTGACTCATAGTGAGATAGAGATCAAACCAATAGGGCAGGCTCTCTATTCTGTTTTGCTTAGAAATAAGTAAATAGGCTGAACTTTAGGTTAACTAAACTCTGGGTGTAAATCAGCCACCTTTCAAGACCCTGAATTAACCTGGCATTTCTCTTAATGCCACTGAGTTAACCTCCTTCACTTAACAAGGGCTCAGAGGCCCCATGGAATTTACACCAATCAAAGCAGTGCCGGCAACCAAACAGCCTCTGCTTCAATACAAGAAGAAGCCAGGGGCAGAATACAAGTTACTGGTGAGTCTTGTACTTTGGACCACTCAGCAGGGCAGACGTTCTTCTCCAAATATACCTTAAAGCAAAAGAAGGGACAGTGCATACCATTCTGCACCTGGCTGGAATCCAGGGGAAATGTAAACTAAGCTGACCCGACTGGTAGGTAACAACTTTGACTAACTTTTTTGGGTCCCAGTATTTACTCTTGGTGAAAGCTATTAAAAGGTGGAATGTATCTTTGGCATAATTTCAGCTGTTTTATGTATTCATTCCTACTTCATTTTGTCCTAGCTTGTGATTTATTATGTGACCTTAAACTTGATTTAAACTTGAGAAAGCCCAGATCTGGAGATTCTTTCAAAGTTTGTTTCAGGAGATGGGACTAACTAGAGTCGTAGAGTATCCACCAGCAGCAGTTTCAAATCTCAGCTCTGCCAAATCTAGGTCTGGCAGGTGTAACCCTCCTACACCAAGTCCCTCATCTCTAAAATGAGGTTCCTAACATCTTCCACGGAGAGTGTTACTGGTTTTTTAAAACTCATATACTGAAGCACTTGGCACATAGTAAGGACTCAATAATGATTGCTCTGAACCTCTTTCTTCCTTTTCTCTTTCTCCCTTTTAAGGTGACAGAGGGCTACTAATAATGTCAGATTTTCTGTTTTTGTTGTCCTTTACTTTTCTCTCTCTGATTCTTCTTTCCTCCATCTCTGAAACTAAGCCCTATGCTTGCTATTAAATTATACCTTAGTGTCAGGAAATGAGCCTTGCCTCTTGCTATTAAAAGTGTCTTTGTGGGCTTCCCTGGTGGTACGGTGGTTGAGAGTCCACCTGCCGATGCAGGGGACACGGGTTCGTGCCCCGGTCCGGGAAGATCCCACATGCCGCAGAGCGGCTAGTCCTGTGAGCCGTGGCCGCTGAGCCTGTGCATCCGGAGCCTGTGCTCTGCAACGGGAGAGGCCACAACAGTGAGAGGCCCGTGTACCGCAAAAAAAAAAGTGTGTGTGTGTGTGTGTGTGCGCACGCGCGCGTGTGTGCTGATATTTATGCTGTACTGACTGTCAGTTCATATATTCTGGCCAAAATTTCTTTTTATCATGGATCTTAATCCCTGCATTTTATCTTTTCTGAAATGGTAAAATGTCACAAGGTTTTCAATGCTGCAACTGGGCAGCGATGGAGTAAAAAGACAGAGAATGATGTTACTGGAGAATGACAAGTTAAATTTTCTTCTCTCTTCTGATCCTTTCTGGGTGTGTGGATGTATTTACTTTCTCAATGTAAGGAAGGGAAAATATTTTCTCTCTACTGTTTTCAAGATTAAAAAATATCAGGGCTCCTGAGCCTATAGAACTGATCACTGCTGAAACAAGCAGACTGAAAAGAAGTGAAAGTGTAGAGTTCACATGTGTTGTGTTTACTATACGTGAAGCACCGTTATAAGGATTGCATGAATCATGTCATTATTTTCACAAAAACTATCATTGTCCCTGTGTTAGAGATGAGGAAGTTGAGGTGCAAATATGCTAAGATGACTCCTTGTCTCACAGAAGTCTCAGGGCCAGGATCTGAACCCAGGGAGTCTGGTACTGAGGAGAACTTTATCTGCCTTCTAATGTATGATGTGAACACACCAGTAAGGGCTACGATCAGTCTCCATCTCCTAAAATTGTGCCACTCACCAGATGCACTGACATCACCTGGGAGCTTATGAAAAATGCAGCATCTCAACCTCACCCCAGACCTACCAAATTTTAATTTGCATTTTAAGAAGATCCCCAGGTAAGTAGCATGTAAAGTTTGGGAAACACAAGCCTCAAGCATTATTTCTGGGATCATATATATACTTTTTGTGTGATATAGGGAGGAAAACAATCAGGATTTTTAGATCTCAAAGGGATAAAGATTTAGAGACAATGCAGTTCAATCTCTTCCTTTTATAATTGTTGAAAATAAGTTACATGGCGGTTAAATATGTATTTAAGAATAAATAAATTCTTAAGAATTCAATAAAGATTTTTTGAGGGTCTGTCACGTTCTAGACTATATGCCAAGTGGGCTGGGGATACAAAGGCACATAAATCATATCCCCTGGGAGCCAAATGGAAGATACAAATAAAGTGCATGAGATTTATAGGTGCTATGATAGAACCATATATCTATATCTATATCTATATCTATCTATCTATATATATACTGTGTATAATAGAGCACAGAGGAACAAAGAGGTTGGGTTGGGAATCAGGAAAGACATTATTACAGACATAGTATTGGAGCTGAGTCTTGAAAGATTAATAGGTATTAACCAAAGGCACTAGAATTTGAGCCTTTTCATTTGCAACTAGGCCAATGAACATCATCATTCAGGGCCACAAGTTATTCAGAGAAAGGAGATATTTAGAGGAGTGAATCTCAAACTTGGCTTCACATAGAATTACCTGGAGAACTTTCAGAATGCCTATTCATGGCTCCACCTTCAGAGTTACTGATTTAGTTAGTCTGGGAGGAGATCTGGACATTCGTTTCTTTGTTTGTTTATGTTCTGCAGATGCCTCTAGGGTCCACACAAGGCTATTATAGTTCTTTTGTGCTTGGTTTCCCTCTTATTCTCTGGATCTTCTGACCATTTCATCTGGTTCCTGACCCAGCTTTCGGCCCTAGACTTCAGACCCACCCTTGTCATGAATCGCAACTTGTTACCCCTTGGATCCTGAACTAAGTCTGACGGTAAATGCCGTATTCATGTGACCCCCCCGTGAGCATGGAGTGCTTTTTCTGTAAATCACCACATGTTGGGGCCAGAGCCAGCCCACTCTCAGAAAAGTTAGCATTAGAGCTGCCTGAGAACAGACCCACCCAATCTCTATAACTAGCGTGCAGCCCTACCCACAGTATAAGACGTCATAATTTTCTCCCCCAAATAAATAGAATATCAAAAGATTTTCTTTTACAGTTTTTTAAATTGAGGTAACATTGGTTTAAATGTTACATGTTTCATATGTACAATATGATATTTAGACTTCTGTATACACTATAGTGTGCTCACCACCAAAAGCTTAGTTTCCATCTATCACTATATAGTTGACCCCCTTTACCCATTTCACCCTCCCCCACCATTCCCCTTCCCCTCTAGCAACCACTATATTCTCTCTGTATCTATGTATTTGGTTTTATTTTGTTTGTTCCTTTATTTATTTTATTTTTATATTCCTCATATGAATGAAATCATACAGCATTTGTCTTTCTCCATCTGACTTTAGCATAATACCCTCAAGGTCCATCCCTGTTGCTGCAAAAGGCAAGATTTTATCTTATTATGGCTAAGTAGCATTGTGTGTGTGTGTGTATATGTATATATAACACCTATCTATATCCTATCTATCTATCTATATCTATAACCTATCTATCTATATCCATTCAACTGTTGATGGGCACTTAGGTTGTTTCCATATCTTGGCTGTTGTAAACAATGCTTCAATAAACGTAGGGGTGCATATATCTTTTCAAGTTAGTGTTTTCATATTCTTTGAATAAATACCCAAAGGTGAACTAGCTGCGTCATACGGTAGTTGTATTATTAATTTTTGAGGAATCTCCGTACTGTTTTTCAGAGTGGCTGAACCAATTTACATTCCCATCAACAGTGTATGAGGGCACCCTTCTCTCCACATCCTTGCCAACACTTGTTATTTCTTGACTTTTTTTTTTTTTTGCTGTACGCGGGCCTCTCACTGTTGTGGCCTCTCCCATTGCAGAGCACAGGCTCCGGACGCGCAGGCTCAGCGGCCATGGCTCACGGGCCTAGCCGCTCTGCGGCATGTGGGATCTTCCTGGACCGGGGCATGAACCCGTGTGCCCTGCATCGGCAGGCGGACTCTCAACCACTGCACCACCAGGGAAGCCCCTATTTCTTGACTTTTTGATAATAGCCATTCTAACGTGTGTGAAGAAATATCTCATGGTGGTTTTGATTATCATTTCCCTAATAATTAGTGATGATTAACATCTTTCCATGTGCCTGTTGGACATCTGTATGTCTTCTTTGGAAAAATGTCTAATCAGATCCTCTGCGCATTTTTTAGTTGGGTTGTTTGAGTTCTTTATATATTTTGGATATCAACACCTTATCAGATATATGATTTGCAAAAATCTTCATTCAGTAAGTTGTCTTTTTGTTTTGTTGATGGCTTCCTTTTCTCTGCAGAAGCTTTTTATTTTAATGTAGTCCCATTTGTTTATTTTTGCTTTTGTTTCCCTTGCCTGAGGAGACATACCTAGAAAGACATTGCTAAGACCAATGTCAGAGTATACTGCCTATGCTTTCCTCTAGGAGTTTTGTGGTTTCAGGTCTTACACTGAAGTCTTTAATCCATATTGAGTTAATTTTTGTGTATTGTATAAGATTGTGGTCTAGTTTTGTTCTTGTGCATGTGGCTGTCTAGTTTTCCCAACACCATTTATGGAAGAGACTGTCCTTTCTCCATTGTATGTTCTTTGCTCCTTTGTCATAAATTAATTATCCATATATGTGTGGTTCATTTCTGGGCTTTCAGTTCTGTTCCACTGATCTGTGTGTCTGTTTTTCTTCCAATACATGCTGTTTTTATTACTATAGCTTCATAGTATAATTTGAAAGCAGGAAGTGTACTTTCAGCTTTGTTCTTTATTTTAAAGATAGCTTTGGCTATTCAGGGTCTTTTATCATTCCATACAAATTTTAGGATTTTTTGTTCTACTTCTGTGAAAAATGTTGTTGGGATTTTAATAGGGATTGCATTGAATCTGTAGATTGCTTCAGGTAATATGGACATTTTAACAATGTTAATTATTCCAATCCATGAGCACAGAAAATCTTTCCATTTATTTGCGTCTTCTTCAGTTCCTTTCAACAGTGTCTTATAATTTTTGGTGTACAGGTCTTTCACCTCCTTGGCTAAATTTATTCTTGGTATTTTATTATTTCTGCTGTGACTGTAAATGGGATTGTTTTCTTTATTTATCTTTCAGCTAGTTCATTGTTATTGTATAGAAATGCAACAGATTTTTGCAGATTGACTTTGTACCCTGCAACTTTACTGTATTAGTTCATTATTTTTAATAGTTTATTAGTGGGGTCTTTAGGTTTTTTTCTTTATGTAAAATCATGTCATCTGCTGATAGTGAGTTTTGCTTCTTCCTCCTTCCTTCCAATTTAGATGCATTTTATTTCTTTTTCTTGATTAATTTCTGTGGCTAGGACTTCCAATACTATGTTGAATAAAAGTGGTGAGAGTGGGCATCCTTATCTTGTTTCTGATCTTGGAGAAATAGCTTTCAGTTTTTCATTTGAGTGTGATGTTAGCTTTGGGTTTGTCATATATGGCCTTTATTAGGTTGAGATATATTTCTTCTGTACCCACTTTATTGAGAATTTTTATCATAAATGCATCAGTGCCTCTATTGAGATGATCATAAGATTTTCATTCTTTGTTTTGTTAATGTGGTATATCACATTAACTGATTTGTGGATATTGAACCCTGGAATAAATCCCACTTTATCATGGTGTATGATCCTTTTAATATATTGTTGTATTTAGTTTGCTAATATTTTGTTGAGGTTTTTGCATCTATATTCATCAGAGATATTGGCCTGAATTTTCTTTTTTCATGCTCTCTTTGTTTGATTTTATTATAAATCATAAAGTGAGTTAGGAAGTGTTCTCTCCTCTTCAATTTTTTTGGAAGAGTTTGAAAAGAATAATGTATTAAATCTTCTTTGAATGTTTGGTAGAATTCACCTGTGAAGGCATCTGGTTCTGAACTTCTGTTTTTTGGTAAGGTTTGGATTACTATTTCAATCTCCTAATGATTGATCTATTCAGCTTTTCTATTTCTTCATGAATTAGTCGTCAGAGGTTGGTTGATTATAAGAATTCATCCATTCTTCTGGGTTGTCCAATTTGTGGGCATATAGCTGTTCATAGTATTCTCTTATAATCTTTTGTATTTCTGTGGTATCCTTTGTACTTTCTCCTCTTTTTTTTTTTTTTGATTTTATTATCTGGGTCCCTTCTTTTCTTAGTAAGTCTAGCTTACGCTATGACAATTTTGTTTATTTTTTTTAAAGAACCAGCTGTGAGTTTCATTGATGTTTTCTGTTGTCTTTTTAGTCTCTATTTCATCTATTTCCATTGTGATTTTTATTTTTTCCTTCCTTCTACTGACACTGGGCTTCATTTGTTCTATTTGTAGTTCCTCTAGTTTAAGGTTAGATTGTTTATTTGAGATTTTTCTTATTTCTTGAGGTTGGCCTGTTGTTATAAACTTTCCTCTAAGTACTGCTTGCTGTATCCCATAGATTTTTGGTATATCATGTTTTCATTTTTATTTGTCTTCAGGTATTTTTTTTAATATCTCTTTTGGTTTCTTCATTGACCCAGTAGTTGTTCAATAGCATGTTGTCTAGTCTCCATGTACTTGTGTAGTGTCCAGCTTTCTTCTTGTAGTTGATTTGTAGTTTCATATTACTGTGATCAGAAATGGTGCCTGATATGATATCAATCTTATTAAATTTGAGACTTGTTTTGTGTCCCAACATATGGTCTATTCTTGAGAAAGTTCCATGTGTGCTTGAGAAGGATGTGTGCTTTGCTCCATTTGGATGGAATGTTCTATATAAATCTATTAAGTTCATCTGGTATAATGTTTCACTTAAGGCTGCTGTTTCCTTGTTGACTTTCTGTCTGGATGATCTATTCATTGATGTAAGTGGGGTGTTAAAGTCCTCTATTATTATTGTGTTGCTGTCAATTTCTCCCTTTAGGTCTATTAATAATTGCTTTATGTATTTTGGTGCTCTCATGTTAGGTGCATATGTATTCATAAATGTTATGGCTTCTTGATGGGTTGTGCCCTTTATCATTGTGTAATGTCCATTTTTGTCTTTTGTTACCTGTTTTGGCTTGACATGTATTTTGTCTGAGTATGGATATACCTGTTTTCTTTTGGCTGCCATTTGCTTGGAGTATCATCTTTTATCTCTTTACTTTGACCCTATGTTTGTCTTTGGAGCTGAGATGAGTCTCCTAGAGGCAGCATATAGGTGGGCCTTGTTTTTAATCCAAACAGCCATTCTATGTCTTTTGATTGGTGAATTCAAGCCATTTACATTTAGGATGATTACTGATAAATGAGGACTTAGTACTGTCATTTTATCTTTTGTTTTCTGGTTGCTCCATATCTCCATTGTTTCTTTTTCCTTGTGTTTCTCTCCGCCTTTTTAGTTTAGTGGTTCTCATGATGTTTTTCTCAGTTTCCTCTTTTTATGTTTTGTGTCTGTGCTCTAAATTCATGTTTTGTGGTTACCATGAGGTTTGTATAAAATATCTCACAGATAAAATAGTCCCTTTTCTGCAGATGGTATCATATCTTCATTTGGCAAATGGGCTCTGTCTTTTAACTCTTCCCCCTTTAAGTTTTTGTTGTCTCAGAGTATCCCTTTTTATATTGTGCATTTGTTACCAAATTAAAGAATTTCTACTGCCTCTTTCCCTTTATCTTTTATGCTATAATTATGTGTTTAACAATCTATTCTGATATAGAATTGCAGTTTCCTGATTCTGTCTATTTATCAACTTACTAATAGTTTTGTGTACTTTTACCTTTTCATTTCCCATAGAAAATCTCCCTTCAACATTTCTTATAAGACAGGTCTAGTGGGGATGAATTC